AAAAAAAAAATAGAAAAAAATATGATTCAATGATAATTTCATTGTTTCATTTTTTAACAATGAAAGTTTAAAAAAAAAAAAGCACAACTTAATGCTAAACATGAATATTTTCAATAAGTCAAAAAAAAAATCTTCAACAGGTTAACAAGTTTTTTTTTTCCCCCCATTGTTCATCCTATGAATGTATTATCCTTGTGTGGACATAGACCTGCTTGGTAGCAGCATCTGACAGGTTCCTGAGTGTCCACAGGCAGTTCTGCATCAGACGCTGACTGGAGCCTGTTAGGTGTTTACCAAGAGCCTGCATTCCACCTGCAGGGGAAAGAAAGAACTATGGCCATTAACAACATCTTGTAAATTGTACTGTCATTTCATGTCAATACGGTTGACCAAACAAGCCTTCCTGCAGTTCGTCTCAGAAAAGCCTGAATGACAGCCCCTTGTGCACATAGGTGTGTGTGTGCTAAAACAGGACAAAAATGCTACATACCTGCCTCAACAATGGCGGGTTTGTTGCTGGGGCAAACAGAGAGCACTTTGAGCACACGGCTTGTGGTCCACAGCAGTTTCTCGTAGTTGGAGTTTCTCATGATGTGCACCAAGCCCTCGGGACCACCATTGGCAAGGATGATCAGCTGTAAAGCCATGGAAAGAGTATAATCAAAAACCCGTTCAACCAGAAGAACAGCAAAATACACCTCTCAATCTGCACTTTATTTCACATCGCCACACCTATTCCCCTCTCGTCAATACGCGAACAGGTATTTTCACACGCCACACCTGACTGACTGACATGTACGGACAGGCAAAACAACGTCAACGTTTCTGCGGTTGTGAGACGTTGGCTTGTACTTCTACTTAAATCTCCACACCTTGCTCTCCTGGTTGCCATAGGAAAGAAGCTGCAAGCAGTCTGTTGTGATGGCCAGAAATTTGGCGTTGCTTTTCTTTAGCAAGGGTACCATCCTCTGCAGGCCATCTGCCAAACGCACGGCCATCTTGGCTCCTTCTTGATGCAGGAGCAGGTTGTGAAGTGTGGTGATGGCATAAAAAAGTACAGACTCCACGGGAGAGCTAAAGGGAAAGAAAAAAAAAAAAAACATCTTCCATTTGCCACAATAAAACTAAAAACAAAGTATTTTGATTGTGTATTTGATTACAATACGCAATTACCTGTATTCCTTTTACACATTTACTACATACATTTTTCAACATCTCGCAGCAAACGAGTTGGCTCTCTTCTGAGAATTTATTTATGATATATAATATATATAGATAATACTGCATGCCTCAAAATTAAAAAAAGAATACTGAATTCTGTTGGCAGGCTAGATGGCATACAGACAGGTGTTACAGCCAGTGCAGAATTAACCTAGATACAACATTTGGTAGAGAAGTGATCCCTCTCCAATCACGCTAGTTGTGTTCCAAGACCCACCTCCGAATGGGTAAAAACAATCGCAATTCACAATTTTTTTTCAAGCCAAAACTAAGCCAATGTAATTATTTTATAATGTCTTTTTATACAATATAGCGGAAATTTCATGAGATCGGATTCTGTAGTGAGCGAGCGAAAGGAGAACCGCAATATATAGAGAGAGGGATCACCGGATAGCTGCTTTTTGGAAACGGGACTCTATTTTAGGTTTATTACTGTCAATTCACTTTTCAATGTCTGGTGTTCGGTTGCGTAGTGTAGGCGCACCTGAGCATTCGAACCAGAGCTGGGATGCCTCCCGATTTAAAGATGGCAAGCAGGCCTTGTTTTTGGTGCGACAGGTTGTGAAGGATGCTTGCCGTTGCCCGTGCCGTTTCCATGTCGCTTGTGTTCTGCATGGCCCGCACGACTGCAGCCACCATCTGAGGTGACTGCATCAGCGCACGACGAGAGGCCTCTTTGCGGGTTAACTGGTTGACAATCTGTGCCGCCTTGCTCACCACCAACTGGGAAATTGAGAACATGGGACAAATGAATTGAAATGCATTTTGTTGCCCTGCTTTTCTTGCAATGGTTGATTAGTAAGTACAGATATAAAGCTATTAAAATAAGCTAAACCTTAGGTCAAGAGAAGGTTCTATTATGAATATTTTCTTTGATGTAAGAAAGTGGATACAATTCTGTATCCAGATGCAACGCGAAAACATGCGATATCCATCTTTCCGTTTTAAAAAAAAAAAAAAAAAAAAAAAAAAAAAAAAAAAAATCTAAAAGCATTTTTCTAGTTAGTTTGATAACATTCAGTAGAGTCATGCTAGGCTAATCCTATAAAATGTATAGCTTTTTCTTTTTTTTTAAATTACCTGATCTTCATCATTTAGGAGCTTGGTAAGCTCAGGAACAGCACGTGTTGCCAGTTCAGCATCGTCCTGATAATTGATCAGATGGATGATTGCGGTCTTTAGCATTTGGGAAGGTTCTGCCAGGCGCTGGACATTTGTCATTTGGGCTGGGTCTGTCTGAGTGGACAGGATGGTCATGCCTTCTTCCATTGTCTCTGGGAACATTGCAGCCCGCACACGCTGGGCTCTGGTCAAAGAGTACTGGGCATCAAGTTCTAGTAGAAAGTGAGATAACAATTACGACCGACTGCCAAATTATAAAGGCAATAACATTTCAAAAGTATGGTGACCAATGTTCAAAGTCTAACCGGGCTGCATGCCGCTGACAGTAGTGGTCGTTGTGTAGTGCTTGGTGGTGGTGTACTCGCCGCCATCATCGTCTCTCACTGTGGTTGCTCCGGACTGAATACCTGAGTCGACACCATACATGGTCTGCTGCCACTCTGCCACCTTCACCATCCCACTGTCGAGATCACCCACTAATAAAGACAATTGAAAAATTCACTTTTAACTGATGTTAAAAAAAAAAACAACAACAAACAAACAAGATTTTTTATTATAAATATTAACTTTCCTCATAATAACTAAATAGTAACTTTATTGTCTCTCAGAGACAGAGATCGATGACTTCGTATTCATACCGAGGAGCACAATGTTAACCTTTGGTAATAATTTAGGGAGATGGTTTTCAAAATTAAAATCAGAGATGAAGGGAGGAAATATATTAACAACATTTTCATTGAAATATATAGTGATAAAATCGTCATGGTAATAGCCCATAATTGCAATTATCAGGTCAATGAACTCTGATGCAATGTTTCAGGGGTCTTTTCAACAATAATCTACAAAAGGATATAGACAAAGCTGCTAATAGCAGGTCAAAAGTCTTCATGTTTAGCTGGGCTTCTGACCGGCAATAGATTTTAGCCCGTTACTTCCCATTAGAAGCCCAACTCTTTTGCCTAATGATTTACAGCCATCCCGAAGAAAGAAAAAATGATAATAATAATTAAAAAAAAATAAATGATTTACAGCCATCCCGAAGAAAGAGAGAAATTATAATAATAATAATAATAATAAAGTTAAGAAGCTGGGGACAGTGTAAAATCTATATCCAAAAATAATACTGTTGTCCGTTCTAACGCCTTGGAACAGCAGTAGCAGACCTGCACTAGTGGACAATGCTAGCATACGATGGAAGACTTTAAGGTGTGTAAAAACACCTAAAATAAACAAGTCTGAAAACAAAATACATACGTGTTTTTTTGGGTTTTTTTTTTGGGTGGGAGGGCTAGAAAAATCTCTTATGAGAATACCAAAGGGAAGCACTGCATTAACATTCACGGGGTCGGTAAATAAGAGCTCATTGTTGATGTTAGGGGCATACATAAAAATAAGAAACGCAAGTTAGCAATTATGGAAAAAAGCTCCGAAAAAAACAAAAACAAACTTGACTTACTTGACATCGTCATCATTGACCTCTGTTCTCAATGCAGATGGAGCACAATCTATAAAAAAAAAAAAAATCAGAATTTTTTTTTTAAGCATTTTACACAATCCTGCACCAAGACATGCGCTGTATAAATATAAAATAAAATAAACGTGGTGAGACAGCTGTAACACAGCAACACTAGCCAGTCCAATTTGGACATTCATCTCCGAGTCCCCTGGTAACACTAGGAGATCAGAGGCTCATCTGTTAGACCTGGAGCGTTTGTTTTTTGGCTGCAGGTAATTAGGAGGTCTTCTAAATAAAATATTTACCACTAAGTAAAGCAGACGCAGAACAGTACAGCGATGAAACTAAGAAGATTCAGACCTGCCGATTAAGTTAAAAAAAAAGTCGACGGTTGACATAGCTCAGCCTTAGTAAACAATAACCTTTAAAAAAATCATGTTATGCATTAAAACCGTGTAAGATGCTAGGAGTTATAGCTTTCATAGTCCATTTTTTTTTCCCTTCGCTTACTCGAGTTGAATTTAGTTTGACAGTCTGTACTTGTAAGAACACGTTTCCTTTTACAAAACACGCCAACTTTATCGACTGAAACTATGCACTTTCACAAGCAAACAATCTCTCTCCTCTAGATTTAATAGTCAGGCTTTCCTGGTTTACTTCTCTCAAAGTATTTGAAGTTAAAAAAAAACCCCAAAAACATATTTTACTTTCTCCCTTCATTCCCTTTGTCCAGTATTTACAAACGGTTGTTGTTGCTCTAAGTACTTTGCTCTCACTCCTTGTAAATGAGTAATATGCTATGATACTGTTACCCAACACCTCCCACAACAAAGTCAGAAAAAACACCGATAGCTCGAGCTAAGTCTTTAAGGTAAAATTTCCGAGTTGTACTTCACTTTATTAGACTTTAAAAAAACACCGATAGCTCGAGCTAAGTCATTAAGGTAAAATTTCCGAGTTGTACGTCACTTTATTAGACTTTAGTGACCTTTTTAAAAAAAAAAAAAAAAAAGTTTCCTCGCAAAAAGAATGCATGTCAGTGTAAACTGCCAGTGTGCGTTACGTCAGAACGCCGGATTTAGATTGGTGCCTGTGGTCTGTTTGGTGCCAGATGTTGAAACACCAATGAGACATTTCACACTACCACAATACATTCATTCCCTCCAATCTCTGGTCATTAGGGTTTATGTGCTGTTTCTGTCTTTTGGCAAATATTTTATAAATGCGACGTGCTGACTAATGTACAGGGACAACAGATTGACTACACCTCCACAGGCATGTGAGACAGGGAGTGGCTGGGCAGCAGCAGTGACACATTGTCAACACTCTTCAGGGTGTGGCAGTAGATTGTGGAGACATGATAATAAACCTGATTTGACTCTCAGATCTCAAGGCTAGAAAAAAAAAAAAGTGGAGGAGGTTTGTGAAAACCATTACAGTAAGTCAGAAAATCAACTTTGCAAAATCACAGCGAGGATTGTTTACCATCTATCTTCTTCAAAACTGGCTTTGTCACATCATTTTCCATAGCTTTAAATGCATTTATTTACCAAACCAAAAGTAAGCAAATGCATGAAAAAAAACATTAAATACAAATTTGTTGTGACATTTTAGTGTTGTTGCTCTTAAGTCTGATATTAGAAACACATAAAAGTTGAAAATTGTGAGTGTCCCCAGGGAACTCTACTCCAAGGAAGAAGAGGGGAAAAAAAAAAAAAAAAAAAAAAAAGTTGAAGAAATAATCAGTAACAGCAACACTGCAAAACAATTGAGTAAAAAAAGAAAAAAGAAAAAAAAAAGACAGAAACTGCTGCAGTTGAGCAACACACAAAATAAGAGACTAATTGTGGCGGCTGCAGAATAACATTCTCAAAACCTCAACATTTTTTGGAAATAAAATACCACGTTTATATATAGTATAATAACGTGATTTGCTACTACAACCAATGGTTTGTTTATGGCTTATGGAGACTGGGCAGCTTCTGTAAACTAGGGTTTTGCTGTTTACTCCCTTTGGGATCTTGTTTTGCATCTAAGGAAATATGATCCATCTCAAAGGAGGTAGCCAAGTATGGAATGGAATCAAGTTACACAAAGCTGATAGTGAAGTAGAAAGGGTAGTAGAAAGGCCTATTATGTATACAAAACAAAGTACCCAAAAGAGTCCACTGTGTATATTAAAGGAAAGACAGACTTGTAAAAAAATAAAATAAATCAAATTCCACAAGGATAATGAATTATAAGGCCATAGAGCACAAATAATCTAATTGTAATTCTGATGTCTTGCTACCATATTTTAGAACCTCATAAAATGCTTTTAATTGAAATTAGCAATTCAATTAATAAAGAGTTTAAGTCTTCAGTTTAGCTCGTTTTGTCAAGAGGTCCATGGCTACTCAAGTCAGGCTCAGGCTTGAATCACCACAGACAGCATTCCTTAGTTACCCAATAGAAGAAAACAACTGTGTTTCAATGTCCACATAAATAAAAAACAACCAAAAAAAAACCCCAACCAAAACCTGACCATGTTTGCAAAAGGCTTGTTCGTGCAAGTGCCACATCTAGGGTTAGAAACCTCTGATGATTTGATTACAATTGAGGGAAAATAATTATGCAAGCATTATGCAAATACACAATAAAATACAATTTTAATAGGTATATTTCAAATCCACTATTTTTTGTAGCATTTACTTTTATTAATGCGAAAGAAGTGGTATATTCCTCTTGGTATTGCATGTTTAATTTCTCACTTAAAAACAATGCTCCCTTCACCAATGATGGTCCAGAAAAAAAAAAAAGAAACCAGCACAACATTTCTACGTTCACCAATGATGGTCCAGAAAAAAAAACAAAACATTTCTACAAATAAAAACCTTTATAGTTGCTTGTGTGACACACGAGCACATTGTGTATAATATCGACGTTTCAACTGACTTTTTGGTGCACTACACCAAAAGAAGTTGCGTAAAAGCTCAGCAATGGCTTGTGTTATGGTTCACCGAGCCAACAGAAGTACATGTTGATTATGTTTCTTATAAGTATCTATTTGCACGTCTTGTCCACCTTACTCCCTCTATTCACCTAAATAAAAGCTGAAACGTTGTCATGTCAGCTTTTAGATTTGAAATTGCAATGAAATGTTACTATTACTTAAGCTGTGGCGACTGCAAAGTGAAGTCATTTTTTCTATCTATAAAGTTGCAACATTTTATATCCTCAACTTCTTGCCTGGTAAATATAAAAACAAAGATTGTGTCTATGTACTACGTATATGGTGCATTGAAGTAAAACATATTCCAGTTGAATAACTTAGTTGAGCTGACCCTCTGCCTACTATGAATCCTGTGGTATCCTGTCCTCCGCTTCCTTCCTCCCTCTCCTGTCCTTTAATTACAGTCTATGAAAGATTGACAACAGCAAGGGCGTGGTTGAATCCCTAAAGAAAACTTACACAACTCAAAAATACAAGACATTAAATGTATTTCCCAGGGTTGTCTTTGGTCTTTCAACTGCTCTCCAATTCACCTTGTACTCAAGTCTCTGTTCCTTTAATCAATGCACTATGGCATTATATTCCAAAAACTAGTTTAAAATGCCTTTGATCGGGGCTTTACATGCACAGTTGGTTAACTGAGCAAACATGTTTGACGAATTTAACTATGAACTACTTTAGAACTGCTGTTAAACAGGGTTAACAGGAGGAACGATACATAAATGACTATAAAAGATCTTGAAGAATATGTGTAAACGGTCAACATCCAAAAGCTTAATTGTTTTTAGCTTAAGCTAGCAAGAAACGCTGCTATCTTTCTCTGAGGCCTGGCTGGCTTAATTGTTTTTAGCTTAAGCTAGCAGGAAATGCTAACACAGTTGTACTGCCCCGAGTTCAAGAGCAGAGATGTACTGAGAAGAATATGGTGCAATACTGACAAATACGCTCTGGAATCCCAATTCTGAGTTTTAAGAGTGATTCAGAAATTCTAATGGATGATGGAATCAAAACTCAAAGATATGCTAATATTTTTGCTTGCCTGACTATTGCCTTGTTCAGCTAGTCACATCTCAGCCTTATACCACAATACACACAAAGTGGTTGAGATCTCAACAAACGTAACGATGTGGTATTTCGTTCACTTCGTCTCCCTCTTCACGCAGTAAATGAAAGAACATAAACAACATAAACAAATGATGGTAGAAAATAGTTTCAGGATGATGCTTTAACAAAAAAAAAAAAAATAGTTTCAGGATGATGCTTTAAAGCATCATTCGTTGTTATACCATTGATTCAAAATGCACAAATAACAATTTGCCAATGCTTCTGTTCACCATGGTGCCTAATAAAGATAACCAGCAAGTAATTCTTATTTAGCAATACACATCAATGCCTTGCATCCTGGATGCTTCACACACTTCTGGTGTTGGTGTACAAGGTTTTTAACCTCGACTATGTACGTTTACTGTTCGAACTCAGACATTTGCATATTCTTGTGTTGTGTTACTAGGGATGTAACGATGCTTTGTGAAATAGGTTAAAAATCGATACAAAGGCTTGACAATTCACATTGGTTGAATAGTCCAATCACATCGCAGCGCAAGGTAGGTTGCATTACCTCAAAAGGTCACAGGTTATACCATCAGACTACACACTCTTGTACAGTAGGTGGCGGTACATGCCTAAAAACGTTGGGTGTGATACACTATTAAACCAAGACCCTGAAAAAGTCATTTCGTAGCCTAAGTGCCATTTAGGTTTTCAAACAGAACATGGGGAGAACTCTTACGCAGAGACAAATAGTGTTTCAAAGTGTTTCTGTTAAGAAAGGATCTCTTTCCAGTTCATATGTTTTAATATTCTTTTGTTGTTTAAAATATTAACAGTTAGCGAGGTAAAGAAGACCAGACCAGTTTTGACTTTTAATAAGAGGAGATAAATGGTGATGATGTGCAGTGTTTCATAAAGAAATGTGCACTTTTTGTATTCTGTTATTTAGGATAACAATTTCAGTTCATGAAGTACACAAGAACATTTCAGTTGGTAATGATATTTTACATAGTTCTTAAAAAGTAAAGGGCCATCATCTATTATATTTGGCCATAATTTGACTGGAGCTCATTCTGTTTTAAAAAAATCGTGAAACTATGCGAGTTGAGTGTGTTGTTACACTCTGTGTGACTAACTGAAATGTATTAAATACAGTAAACCAAAGTTGGCAGTGTGAGAAAATACTGTATTTTTTTGGAGTAAATAACTAATAAAAACCTTATAAGTAATGTTAACTCTCTTTGATTTATGGTTTTCATCTCGTACGGTATTTATTCCGTTGTGTATAATTTATGTCCCTGTATTTTGTTTAAATGCATTGTCCTTGCTTTCACGAGATTCTGGAAGTGCACTACTTTGCTGATTTAATTCCCTTGTGTTTAAGTTTACGGCGATGTTCTAAAAGTATACTAGTAAGTTATTTCTAGGAAAACATAAACAGGACAGTAATTAAAGGGAAAAGATATCACAAGTGTGGTTCTTTATATGCAATAATTACTATCAATTCCACAATGAGTAATTGTGTTAAATAATCTTGATTTTTTTTTTCAATAATCAAGCACCCTTAGTTTAGAAGCTAATACTCTGTGAAGTAATAATTGGAAGGCAGTCTGAGGCAGCGGATGTTTTTGTTTCTACAAAACCAATTAAGCTATTTTTTTTTCTCAAGAACATTGAAAATGTTGTATGTTAAGAAAAAATATTTTAGCAAATTAGAGTGTTACACTTGATGCTTTATTCCAAAAGATAATATACTGTTTTATCAGATCTCCCCACATTAGAGGAAAACTTTACTACTCCAAAATTGTTAATTTATTTTACTTATTTACAATCACAGCTATTACTTCCGCACAGAATATATTTGACAAAACAGCTCATGACTTAATGGGGGATGAACTTGCCATGCTAGCTAAAAACAATTGTCACTAATATGATATTATATAACTCTACTCATTCCTATGCCCATTTGAAGTGTCTAAATTTGGAATACATATATTTCATAAAATTGCATTACAATATTCATCATGAGCAGACAAAAATAATTGGCTCTGTGGAAGACTACGTCTCATTACAAATTGTCAATGTGTGGAAAGCTGGTATTTTTGTTATGTCTCTCTGTTACACAAATCAACAGACAAGATTACCTTAGATGTTAAAGGCCGGTGTTTTCAAAGCAAATACCTTTCAGTTTAAATTATATACATATTTACAATACACATTACCATGCAATACAGGTTAATCTTGCAAACCTTAACAGTAACTTAACTGTAAGAGTCAAATTGCCTCATATCGACCTACTCAGCGCAAACCACGCATGCGCACACAAACGTTGACTAGAATAAGTCACACTTGTGCTAGACTTACAAGTGACGTCAGAGAGAAAGCGATACTGGCAACGAACTTCGTTTTGTTAATTGCCAGGGGTCCACTGTTGTAAACTGAGTTGTAAACAAAAGTATGGCGAAGTTCCTCTTAAAAAACACACCGGACTATCACTACGAGAATAGGCCCCTTTCAACCAGGCGGAAGTTAAACATACATTCGACTGAAGTGATACTCGGGAAGAAAGTGCAACAACCAAATTTAACAACAACAAAAACACACAAGCTAGCGTTTTCATGTAACTACGACAGGGAATAATTAGCAAAGATAAACAAAACCTGAGTCGATGGTTAAAACAGGTTATCATCGACTCGCCGTTAAAGAGTTGAAGAAACTAGTGGTATATATCCAGTCACATCTTACCTGTGAAAACACGATTGCTTTCGATAGTAACGCCGCTGAGTTTGTTTGTAAGGACGAGCTTTTGTGTTTCTCCCACCCTGACGCTCCCCTCGTACTTCCGCCTGCTTTCCGTGGCAGAGAAAAGTCCAATCTGGAAAAAAAAGAAAAAAGAGTGAGAGGTCACCTCAGAGCGAAACGCCGCCTCCTCATTCCGACCCCACCCTATTCACGCTCAGCAGTTATACAGCTCTATTACTCACCACTAGTGTTGAAAAGTAACCCTTAACTTTCACTGTAGTTAAGCTATTTGCCACATAACTCCCGAGTCACTTTGAAATGGGTCACCGAAATCTGCAGTTTTAACAGCGGCCTAAAATATTATTTTAGCAACCTAAAATATTGAATAAATTAAATGAATATTATTTTTCATGAAGCTTAATACTAATGCTCAAATCAGCTTAACTATATTATAATTATAATCATATGATTTGTATAGTTACTGTACAAATGACAAAAAGGTTATGGACAAGTAAAACTGACTGTTTCTCATGTCCACAACTGAAATGCATCATGAATGCGATAAAATGCAAGAACAAGTAACATTTGGTTGGCTTGTGCCTTTTATTGTTTATTTACTTATTTTTACTGTAGCTTTATCATGGATAATTATTTTTTGACATAAATCAACATTCCATACTTAAATATATGTTGTATTCCTAATATATGCCTGTAATATGTTTCCTGGAAAGACAACAGCAGGTAGATGTGTTTCTCGCATCCATATCCAGGAAATGGAATTTATATATTTTCAATTGAAAATTCTGGTTTGCAAAGATGGTACATTTTAGTCATATCTTTGCAACTTGATTGTGGCTTGTAGAACGTCTCCCTCACAATCAATTTAAGAATTGTGTGCATCAGCTTATCATCCTTAGACTTAATTAATGCTCTGAGCTCAGTGAAGCTGGACCAACAAAAGCTGCGCATCCCTCTAGAAATTGAAGCCTCAACAAACACATGTTGGGCAAAGCAAGTGTATTTATAACTTAGATGTTTCTGTGAAAAAAAAACTTTCCGTGTAAATAAGTGTATCGACTGTGTATTCGAGGTACAACAGGTGGATGGATGAAAGGTTATTGGATATACAGATATATAGAACATCAGCTCAGCAAAGAAATAATGTTTCAAAATATTCGAGGTACAACAGGTGGATGGATGGTAGGATTATTGGATATACAGTGAACATCAGCTCAACAAAGAAATAACGTGTTTATTTACATGTTGATTCAAAAGGCTAGGACATCATGTGGCCAAAAATCAATATTGGCCCAATACTGCGTTCAAATACTCACACTCCTACTTAGAGACATAGAACTCTGAATTACTTCTAATGACAAAGAGCTGCAAACTAGTCAACCAGTGTTATTTGTTTTGTTTTTTTGGCTGCAGTTCAGTGTCTCATTACCCAGCAGTTTGGGGGTGATTAAACATTAGGGACAAAGACAAGAGTAAGCCTTACTGTAAGATGTGTTCTGTTACAATATAAGTAATTTAAATAGAACATCTGAAGACACAACTAAGGGCTGAATACGTGAATGTCTCTCCTCGGTGTAACAGCAAAGAGTAGGAGACAGTTCTTTCTATTGCAATGTCCCGTTAGTATTAATGGTTCACACAATTTCTGTTCAGCTTACTTTATAATTTCATCCTTGGGTTTATTGATTTATTGTCAGTTGTGAGAACATTGTCATTTTGAAGACTTCTGTTTAATGGAGATAGTTGTTTACCCTTTGATTGATATAGTCTTCTATTGATGAGAAGAAAATAAAGCTTTCAGATTTAAGTATTTTTGCTGCTTCGCTTCACTGTGGATGAGCCACTTGCTGCACGTCATCCAATTTCGAAAAAGAGCTGTGGCAAGTTCTTGCATATTTACTGAAATCCAACGAAAAGAAGTATCAGTAGGGTACTTGGCATCTTTTGCTGAGTACTCAAAATGAAAATACTCTTACTCACATTGGTTTATAAAAACATGAAATCAGAACAACCCCCCATAATTGTCATTTAGTTACTAAGAAACAACTTCACAGCTCCATACTTCCATACTAAAGCAACTTCAAGTTCACTTCCGCCCTTATGCTCCACACTGTTTAGGCCAGTGGTTCACTTCCGCCCTTATGCTCCACACTCAAACTGTTTAGGCCAGTTAATGTACTGTAACTTCTCACTTAAATAAAAGAAAGAAAGAAAAAAAACAATGGACAAAAAGTCATACAACAACATCAGGCTGCTTTGCATGACCATGTTAAAAACATATTCGATATACTAATACATAAAAAAAGGTATATCGTTTTGGTTTAAACATTGGCTAGGTTAGCTAAGGTCTGCAATTTCAATCATGGCAACATAAGTAGATCTAATCAAAGATCACATTTTTTTAATGCTTCAATAACACAAATTGTGTCAAAGACCCACATCATAACCAAAAATCAAACAAACAAAATAAGAACATTCACATTTTTGACTTTATATCTTGAATTTGTTGTTCATGTTTCCTAATAATAGATTATAAAGTTGTGTTCTGGGACATAAAAATATTAAATCTAGTAGTTTAAAAATATTTGTAATGATAAGATAGATGAGGAGATAATCCTGCACAGTATATTTATAAACAAATATTTTTGTACTTGAGATATAAACATATATATGTATATATAATACACTAGCATGGCATGGATGCACTACCTTTGGTAGTGCATTTGGTAGGTGTATTAGCTGCACGCTACAGCTATACATACATATATACACATATATAGTATACTTTTATTAAGGTTTTTTTTGACTGTCTTCTAGATATGAGACATGCACAGTCAAAGATGCTTAGCATGTAGCATGGCATGGATGCACTACCTTTGGGCATTCAGTGGGTGTTTTAGCTGCACGCTACAGGTCGCAAATTAGTGTTATAGGAAGTATTAGCAGCAGTATTCTGGTAGTATGTAGCATGTATGAGAAAACACTTTTTGAGAGTCCTTACAAATGGCTGGGCAAAACAAACCTTTAGTCTTGTTTCTTCTAAGAGCTTTACCCAAGGTGGGTTTCTGCCCAATTGTACTACTTTGATTAAACAGCATTATAAATAAAATGTTTGCTCATTTTGTATGTTTATTTTTTTTCTGCAGCAACCTTGCTGACATTCAAAGGTCCTCCTTAACATTATAACATTATTGAGGTTAATTCTGTAAACTGAATACTAAATTTGAACATAGATAATTTTGTATACTGAATAAAAACCGCTTTAACAAACGTATGTCATGACTAAGATAATAGAAAAAAATAAGGTGACTTAAAACATTTGACACGTGTCTTCCGCAAAGGTAAAGGGAGTAAACAAGGAAATTTCTTTAATAAGGGTGATAAATATTACCCTTATTAACTGTGTGTTAATTTACTTACATTATATCAAATTCTCTTCCTGTCATTGTCAAGCACAATTTGTTCACCCACTAACCAGGACTGAGGTTTAAGCCTCGTGAGACTGGTTAGTTTGATCATACGTAGAATGTTGTTGCAACATTAATTGCGCTTTAAGGATAAGCAACGAAATTAAAACCCATGGAAATGATCCTTCTTCAATTCTGACAGTCTCATGTGTCCCGCTGAAGCACTCCTGGCTAAAGTTCACACTGCAGAGGCTGGGTGGCCTAAATCATTCCTGACTCAAAGCTACTTCGAACTGCTTCATTAGCGCTTCGTCTCTGTACTGTGGAATGATCGGCATTTCAACATGGTTAAAATATAAAAATTTTAATTAAAAAAAACCCCGACAGATTACAGTCATGTCAGTATCATCCTTTAAACTCTGGGTTAGCTTTAGCCCCAACTTGGTGTGGAGACTGGAAAGCCCGTGAAGCTATATATAATTGCTTACATCATTGCCTAATTTAGCGACAAACACAGCGTTTTATTAGTCGAAGACAAACCATATAATCATATGTACTTACTTGTAAAATGTTATTTCCTAGTATCTTGTTGAAACACTGCGGCGGTTTGTGCAGCCACACGCATCATTGTGTATGGCATATTTCTATACTACTCCCCCAAAATGGCGGTGGCGTTTACGCATTTTAAATCAGTCAATCTGTCGCCTCTAATTATTTGTCTAAAGGTCCCAAACACCTAAAAAAAATCTAACTTACCACTGCAGGCGGAGGAATATAATTATTTGATTCTATCAAAGCTTTGGCTAGTATTGGTAAAAAAATAAGCTTTCTAAAGCGCTGAGGCTTGAATTGAAAAAGGGTTAATCACCCGAGGCTTGTCTTAACACAGGTGGTCTTACGTTTGAAAAACAACTTAGAAAATGATTTAATAAAAAACCTTATTAGCAAACTTTTGCCTGTTTACTAAACAGGCATCCCTAAACTGTTTAGGAATGCGCCACGGTGATGTTCCTGGTCACGCATTCATACTTATACAAATACAATAGATAAAATACATAAATATCGCATACTCGATCTTATATCTTGGGAATTTGCTTTGAGGTCTCTCCCCCACGCCGTATGTAATAATTAACCAGTGAACATGTGCGTTTATATCGTATTGTAACATAGAAGTTCAGTGTATTTGTAGAGTAAAGAAAAGCACTCAGGTTATTTGGATTTTATGCTGCGACCGAATGCCCCCTCCTTATGGCGGCAACAGTTCTCTCAATACTTCTAATAAATCGATATTTTTCTCTCATATTTCAGCACTCGAATTCACTACAAATAACAGAAATTATACATTTCCGTGTACACCATCGAATCAGGTACTAGAGCAGTAAAGTATCAAACGAAGCGTCGGGCGTCATTGATCACGTGACTCTGACCAAACGAATCAAGCTTGTCTTTTTGACACATGCGCAGGAGTCATAACTAGAGCTACGATAAAATGTTCAAAACGAGATGTGAAAAAGTGGTATATGTAGTTGTACGGCAGTTAATAAATAAACGTCTTTAAAATATTTTGTCAGTAGAACAAACCTGATGTCATTGAGACATTTAAAAGCTGCTTAATCTTACTTGTTATTGTTCGTGTGCTTGAACATGGAACGGGAAACAAGTAATAGCAGATATACAAAGAGAAATATTTGGTCATATCATTATTAATGTAATTTTATTATGCGTGATTTTTTTTCACAGAAAGGTAGAGATCCTGTAGCCTTCACATCTTGTACGTTTTGCTTTCTTGACTTAGTTGCTATATACTTTTGTTATGTTGGCATCAAAAGAGTTTTATCACATTTGTTAGCGAGGAGTGTGGGGATGGTGCCATGCTCAGTGCACCTGGTGAATGGTGGATTCGAACCTCCAACGAACAGGTCTGCTTCCTGGACCACCAGGCCACCACTGCCCCCGTGTGGAGATGTGGCGGCGATTAGTGCTTAGCTGCAGAAAGGAGAGCATTGGCGTGGTGATGCGGCTGACGCAGATCTCTTTTTAATATTAGTAGGAGCTGGGACTAATAGAGGAGAGAGACACCGTAGCAGCAGGTGGACGGAGACAGAGAGCAGAGAGAGGTGCAAGCTATATCAGTGTCTGCTGTCAAGGGTGAACCCATTTGACACTGAGAGTTTATGTTTTTAGTTAATTTTTTACATTCATTGTCTTGTAAAATCCACAACTTGTGAAATCAAAGATTACTAAGGCAATGAATAATTTTGGGCGTAGCTGACAATTGTAGACTTGGCCTCACATTACTGTGTAAACTATATAAACAGATAGAAATGTATAAACTAACATAGGAATACACATTTTCCATAGCCACCAGGTTGAGGAAACTAAAATAAAACACACAAATCAATATCGAATGGTCATTTGTAATGAGTTATACAAGTTTACAGCTGGTGGACCATGACATACTTTACAAGTATAAGTCAACAATTCTTATTGGGAGCATGAAGGAGAATGTGTAAGTCTTTGGTTTTGTTAAAAAAATAACAACAAATAATGATAATGTATTATGACTATTCTGTTTTGTTACTTTATCCAAATTAAAATAATGTTAAAATTGTATTTTCTTGTTTTTCTTGATAGATTTTTTTCATGGAAAGTAGGAGCTAACAATCATCTCTCAACTTTTATTACTTTGTTTTTATATTTATTTTTATTTTTTTTAACTTGCAGCAATATTGTTTCCCTCCAGTAAAATACTAAACCTGAACTATTGCCAAAACAACCAAAATCTACATTCATGGTTTTATTAATTTATTATGAAAATGAAAATTGTTATTTACTACATGAATGTACTTCCAGCATCTGTGACTCCATATCAGTGACAGCAGCTTGATTAACCAAACCTGACCGTTATCCTTTGTCCTTGTCCAGTAGTCCTGACTAAAGACCTAAGGGAGCTTGATGTTGAAGTACAGCATGTCTACAGCTAATAATTGATAATTTTCCAAGGTACACCCATGACTTCTCATGGTGATGTTGCACAGTGGTTAAGTAGACATAAACTACAACTAGTTTATGTGGTTGTTCTAAAGTGTGTTATATACAAAAAAAAAATCAAGAATGTAAGTTTGTATTATCACCTATTACAGTTTGTTTGTTTTGTAAAAAAAAAAAAAAAAAATCAAGAAAGTAAGTTTGTATTGTCACCTATTACAGTTTGTTTGTTTTGGTTTGTCTTTTGTGGGGGAATGTGATTAAATCAACACATACAACAAAATAATTTACCCAAGTAATTTATTTGACAGTAAAATATAATTTCAGCATGTCAACATAATATGGTGTCTGTTCTTTTTCATTCTGCATCCCGCCGTCCAAAGTCCACCCAGCCTTGGTAATCACGATCCGGCATGCACTCAGAATTCATTATCTCTGTGGACAAACCAGTCCTACATGAACCACACACAAGAGGTAAATGCACAGTTGCCAATGCTTGTAAGTTATCTATATTTCACATAGGAAACAAACAAAGAAAAGTACTATTTAGAAATTTAAAAAAAAAATGCATACCTGAAATGGCTTGGATTATTTGTTTGGTCATAATGTCTTGTTTGTCCTCAGAAGGATAAGCATGTCTTTGTGTACGAGTCTGATGCACCGGCTCCTGATTGTAATCCCCATCTCTCATTTTCTCCCTCTCAGCCAAAAGCCTCTGAATTGCCTTAGTCTTCTTTACCTCTCCAGCTGCAGAGAATTCCAGGGAAGAGGCTTCACCTGTCTCCATCAGCAAAAGAAGCAGTGCAAGAACCACAAATACTTTCTTGGACATGTCTTTGAGCACAAAAGTAACGACTTTCAGAAAGAATAAAAAAAAAAAAGGAATTTCTTTTATCCTGTAACTTGGACATGTCTTTGAGCACAAAAGTAATGACTTTCAGAAAGAATAATAATAAAAAAATAAGGAATTTCTTTTATCCTGTAATAACTGAAAATAGCAAAGACCTTCTGAATATTTGAGACAGACGGTTCAAATAAAATGATGCTTCTGGAGATTTGAGGCTGCTTTTATACAACAGTGGTCATTGATTGATCAGAAACAGATGCACCAGGAGGAGATGTGTAGAGTAAATAATGGGCCACATGATCCACCAAACCCATTATTGTGCTTTCCTGAGAAGGCCCCTTTCCTTTCTTCCTTTATTAACAATGTAAAGGTCATAGTCACTCTACAAAATCCAATAGTGTATAGAGCTAAGGGTAGGAATAAGGTCTTGAGATACTTATTCTTTTTGCTAAAGCTTTCTGCTTTTACAGAATTATTTTGTGTTGGCATGTGTTTTTTTTTTCACATGTGTCATAAAAACAAAATAAATCCATGACAAAAAACATCATCTCTGACCTATAAGAAGGTAGATTGAATATCACTTGAGTGTTTTACCCAGGATTTTCCAAATGACGCACATAATCATTGAGTTAAAATACAACAAACCTCTGCTAATGTTACCAGTGTTTACAAAGAGTATAGATTTTCTATAGACACTGTGGATCCCTTGTCCAATACGGCCTATGAAACAGAAACAATCCAATCGAATCTGAGGAACAGGAAGTTGTAAATATTTCGTTTTAAAAAAAGAGTGGCAGTAGTTAAAAAAAAAATGCATCGAAAGGCAATGGCAATGTTGAACCCATTAAATGTAATCAGCAGGATTTCTAATATCATTCTAAATATAACAACCGTAAAATTATTGATTTACATGTAAATAAAAGAGTGAAATGAACACCTGTCTTTGTGATGCTTTTCCACAAGACTAAATCCACACGTCTGCATCAGATTGATTCTTGACAGATAACAACCATGTGCACACATAGAACAAATTATTCAACCAAGTGAGTTATAGTCGCTCAATTTCTAAAGATGTCTAACGTTAACATAAAGCCAATTTTCAAGTCATTTTCATGTCTAACGTTAACATAAAGCCAATTTTAAAGTCACTCTGGACCAGTTCTTTGTTCTTGACAAGGGAGTTATATGATGACTCAAAAAAGGTTTCACTGATTTTATTTTATCTCCAGCAGCCCAGTTTAAGATAGATAGATAGATAGATAGATGGATAGATAGATAGATAGATAGATGGATGGATGGATAGATAGATAGATAGATAGATGCTTTTCATGACGAATTCAATCTTTAATGTCTTTTTTTTTATTTGACATTTAAGTATAGCTAACATTAGTTGACGCTAATGAAGCGAACTTCAACTGATCCTGATGTATGTTTCACTTTTCATCAGGACTCCAGCAAGCCAAATCACCATCTACTGTGCAGTCGGAGCGCCAGAGTTCTGCCTCTTCCACTCACTTCGTAGTAGTAAATATAGGGCACCACTTCATGGATAATTTGGGAATATAATGTTATTAAGAACAATTTTTTTTTTATTACAAAATTCATCCCCTTGAATGGGCCAGTTTGGCCCACGGTCGTTATGTTTGACATCCTGTGGTAGGTTCTGTCTCACCAAGGTTCATTTCTTTGAGGCGGCACCACCTAACAGTGACTCATTGCTCTCATTGTGTCAAAAAAGAGAACATTGTAGTAGTTGTTCCTTATTGTCTTTGTCAGCTAGCACTGACCTTTGCTTTCTACATATTTCCCATTATAGTCTTTCAATGGTCTTTTCAATGGTTGTTCATGTATTATTTGGTGGTTTTACTTCATAGCATTGGTTTCTGTCATGCTGACAACGTGCACTTGTGCTACTATAGCTCCATCTACTGGAAGTTATTTTTTTCTTTTTGGGTGTGTTCCTCAATTTACATAACGAACGTTTGAATACGTATTGTAGTTCATGCACGAGTTGTGAAATATGGTAATTACTCTAGTCTACCAGAATACCAGTGGAAATTAGGCCAACAGGTGGCGCTTGTCGGCTTTCTTTGATGTGAGAGTTTTGTCTTTAAAATATGTTGGAACTCTGGTTCTGGTCTCCATATTAGTGTCAACGTTTTTCATTTAACAGTTTCAAATGGTTTGATGTTTAAAAGTTGGATTAATACATATGTTTTTCGATTTTAATTTTTTTTTTTTTATCACGTACTCAGCTTTATCATTTGGTTATGGGTAATTTTATGTTCATATGCAGCAAAAGCTTTTAAGAACGCGTACAAAAGGCTTCTAGCAGCCGGCACAAATGTGACTGATGTAGCTTTTTTTTTTTTTTTTTTTTTTTTTTGCGGCTTCTCTTTCACTCCCTCAACATGATGAATCTCGTATAACTGGCTATGCCGTGCATCTTGCAGTTCGTTGGCTGCGGACTGTCTGGCATGCTGCCCAACGAAACTCGGTTTCCACTTTGTGTACACAGGTAGTTTCACTAACACCGTTTTGATAGTCATGTTTACGAGGTATGCTTCTTTTCTTTTTTTTTATGCTGTTGAACTTGATTTTGCGAGACAACAATGATGTTTTCTATCTATCTATCTATCTATCTATCTATCTATCTATCTATCTATCTAACTACAACTATTCACTATTATTTTTTTTATAATTAAATAACGCAGTACTGTATGATTCCATTGTAGTATTCTGTTTGTATTATTATAGTTAACGCACATTTGTGCACATCTTCTGATTACTGTTTTAGAAGTCACATTAATAATAAATAGTATTACCTATTACAAATGCATACCCTTTTCCATGCACTGTTATGACAATAACAAAAATCATGCCAAAATCTGCCAAATATGTGACAACTCCCTTTTCCATGCACTGTTATGACAATATTATCATATAAAATAAAAGCTTAGAAAACCTGCCAAATATGTGACAACTTCTTCTTCTTCTTCTTCAAAAAAAAAAAAAAACTCATTCAAAGAAAATTAGGTGCAGAAGCAGAGAAGAAGATTTTATCAATTACATATATTTTTCAACAATCATTTGTCGAAAGAGATGAAAATGCCGTCACGTGTCGTTTTATTTGCATTTCATTTTCACAATAACTGGTGTCTGGAATGTAATAATAACAATACAAATAAAAGGTAACAAGCAGAAAACCCAGTGCAATTTTGTTGAAACCTGACTACCGGTACCACACCCATACCTACGTTTGTGTGCGCAAACTTAAAAGAGAAAACAGACAGTTGTGCTCCGGTGTCATATTTATGCCCACATTTGAAAAAAAAAAAACTGGACGGTGTTCTTCATGTTATTAATTTTCCTTTTTCATTTCCCGTGTTTTATTTCTTCTCAAAACGTGTAAAGGAGAAGTTCTTTAATTAGTTCATTTGTTTGTAAAACTATCGTTACACAATAACCTGTTTGGCATTGGAAAAGGAACACAAAGAAGAGCCTGTTCTTGTTCAAACAAGTCATACATACCTAAGAGTGAGTCCAAGTACATGTAACCGCACCCAAAGTTTTCTGGTGGCACTCTGACTAGTCCTGAATGGGTAACAAGTCTCCACCTATTGTGTAGACAAGAAACGAGAGTGGAAGAGTGAATGTAAGAAAAAAAAACCCCACAGGCTTTATGAAAATTATTTCTATTTGTATTCTAAGCAAAAAAAAAATGACAGTGGAAGATAATCCCAGTCTAATAGGAATAGAGTGAAAGGCAAGATTATTCAAGATAATGGTAGGCACGAAAAACTGTAAAACAACTTCTGTCATTCCGTCATCTCTTCAACAAAATTACATAACAACAACAACACTTCATGTTGCCTAAGTGTCAGAACAGACTAAGTCAGACTTGCCACTGGTGTCAAACTTACTGAAAATCAACCAAATAAACTAATCATTGGAAATAAGTGCAACAGGTTGCCCGGTTATTACGACAGTGGTTGATGAAAATCACAATCTCTTAAGAAGTGATAACATACGTTTTAATTCTCAGTCTTCCCCTTTTGTTGCTCAAAATCCTATGGCCCAGGCCAAGCTGGTACTCGTAACAAATATTTACATAACACTCCTGCGCTCTCCTCTGCACGGTCACACCCACATCGAGCCACCTGCGCAGCAATAAAAAGGAGAACGCAAGCGGATTACCACACCTCAAGCCATCTTCTTCTCAAGGACAAGCAAACATCCTGAGCAGACTCCCGCACACCACCCTTAACCATGCAGAGGCAAAGTTATATGACAAGTTCCATGTCTGGGCGCTTAGGTAGCGGAAGCCTAGGTGGGGGAATTGTTGCGCGCAAGTCTTCAAGCGTATATGGCGGTGCAGGGGGAATGGGGTCCAGAATCTCTGTGGCAACTAGTAGTATGGGAGGAAGAGGCTCTGCTGGAGGTTTTGGCTCTGGATATGGAGGAGGCTTCAATCTGGCCGACGGCGCGGACATCCATGTTGGAGCTAATGAGAAGGCCACCATGCAGAACCTAAATGACCGTCTGGCTACCTACCTGGAGAAGGTCCACAGTCTGGAGAAGGCCAACGCTGATTTGGAGCTGAAGATCCGCCAGTTCTTGGAAAGCAAAACTGCTCCAAGTGCTCGAGACTACTCTGCCTTTGAGGCCACCATCGCTGACCTACAAGGAAAGGTATGCCACAAGACTTTTCTTTCCCTTTCACTCTCGGTGGAAGCAGACAACCGTAAACTCTTTACCTGCTGAATGCGTTTTCTTTGCTTGCTCAATCTGTGATCTACTTTGGTTTTCTCTAATATTTAAACTGTAGAAATGCTTTTGACAGATACATTGAGGGGTTTTTTTTATGAGGGGAAGGTATTTAATTGAGTGTCGATTTCTAAAAGTAATGATGATTGATAGCGATAATGATAAGAAATACATGGGTCCTGGTGCCAACATTCCATGTGTTCACAATTTTTCTATTCAAGGCTGAAGAAATTTGCTTTATTTCAGGTCATATGAAAAACTTTCACAATCTTTTATCACACAGATCCAGGCAGCTACTCGTGACAACGGAGGAACATATCTGTCCATTGACAATGCAAAACTGGCAGCAGATGACTTTAAAACCAAGTAAGTAGCAAAAAATATTTCCCCCAACCAAAATAAAAAGACCCTTCAACAAATCTGTTTTTTTTTGCCAGTCTCTTGTTAAACATTTACAGCACTGCACAATATGCTGTGTTTTATTTGTTCCATCTGCGCCTCCCCCGCCCCCTTGCAATGGCACTGCGACCCCACCTAGGGCCACACCCCCCACTTTGGGAACCTCTGGTTTATGCGACTAACGTCTTAACACCTTACAGATACGAAAATGAACTAGCAATGCGTCAGTCAGTGGAGGCAGATATTAACGGTTTGAAACGACTGCTGGACGAGTTGACACTGGCCAGATCAGACCTGGAGATGCAGATTGAAGGCCTTAGGGAAGAGCTGATTTTCCTCAAGAAGAACCACGAGGAGGTGATTTTCAAAACACTGATCATGTTCGATTGCTTTGTATCTCTTTTGGTTGAAAAATACAATTTCAGAAAACTAACCCAACGCTACTTAAACTGTTAAATGAACAGGAACTGGCAGCCATGAGGAACCAGATGACTGGACAGATCAACGTAGAGGTGGACGCAGGGCCGCAGGCAGATCTCAGTGTCATCATGGCCGAGATCCGAGAGCAGTACGAGGCAGTGGCTGCCAAAAACCAGAAAGAGCTAGAAGCATGGTTCCAAACAAAGGTACATTTGTAGCCAAACAATGGTATATTCAGAGCCTCCTTTTGCCATGGTCCGATATGTTTATGCTAATAAACTGTCATGTCAAATGCAGTCAGAGGAACTGAACAAGGAGGTGGCAGCCAGCACGGAGATCCTGCAAACATCTAAGACGGAGATCAATGAGCTGCGGCGAACACTACAGGGCCTGGAGATTGAGCTACAGTCACAACTCAGCATGGTAAAGGAGATTTTTCTTTAGTTGAGAAATTCTAGATTTATTTGACAGTGCTTCATTTATACCAATCTTTTGTTCTCAACATTTCTACAGAAAGCGGCACTAGAAGGTACTCTAGCAGACACAGAGGGACGGTACTCAATGCAGCTCCAGGGACTTCAGATGAAGGTAACTGGTATGGAAGAGCAGTTAATGCAGTTGCGTGCGGACATCGAACGGCAGAATCAAGAGTACAAGATGTTGCTTGACATCAAGACGCGGCTGGAAATGGAAATCGCTGAGTACAAGAGGCTGTTGGATGGCGAGGGCAGGTAGGGGAAGAAAACAGGTATAAAAGAAGAATAAGCAAAAAAAAAAAAAAAAACAGGTATAAAAGAAGAATAAGCAAGAAAAACCCCAAAGTTATGTAGATTGTTTTTTTAATATTAACTTCTATCTTTTGCCTTCCAGTGGTGGTAGCTCTTCAAGGTCCACAACTACAAAGGTGGTAGTGGTCACTGAAGAAATGGTTAATGGCAGTGTGGTATCTTCATCAACAAGAACCTCATAATCTGCCAGCAGGAACAAGGACCTGGAGGCTACAATTCCAACATCAACACAAGACGTTTACATATAAATGTAAATGAAATAAAAACTTAAAGCCTTTTAATGAATAGTTTTGTTTGGGTTGTTTTTACTTTTCCTTGGGTTTTTTGAATTCTTGGATGGTTAGTTAGTTAAAAAACAAAACAAAACAGTGGTATTGGTTTAGTAGGCACAATGAATCAAACAATACCCAATTTTATATTTGTCAACTTTGAACAACTTCCTTAAGACGCACAATTCATCTTTGTGAGATTCCTCAAGATGTGTCACGCAAAAAAATATTCATAAACGTAGTACAATAAAAGTTGCGCATACTGCCCAGAAAAAAAAAAAAAATCTTCATGGTGTTCACGCAGCATGACAATTTAAAGGTTTTTTATGGTGTCATGCCCAGATACCCCTAAGAATTTTTAAGGTGTCTTGGCATTTTTAAGGTGGTCTGTTTTTTTTAACAAGTTCATTGAAGATTTTGTTTTGACATATCTATTCATTATTACTGAATAAGCTAGCATTGTTATGCAGTACGTAGAGCAAGTAAGCTGGACTCAAATGGCAGCCAGAAGGAGACTCTGTTCAGGTGACACGAGTGAGACTAATGACTAACACGCTGGTGAGTGTGATCACAATGATAAAGTCCAGACACAGGAGGAAAGGAAGACCGACAGACCTCACAATTTGTAATATATACTCAGCTGCTAAGAACCTCGAGATAGGACTATCTCACAAGCAAGATACGAGCGAGCATTCGAGCATCTTTTTGCTTCCGAGATATGAGTAAGAGTTGAGATACAAGCACGCTAACAGACACCAACGCTAGGTGCAGCCCACGCTAGTGATGTGCGGATCGACCCTGAAATATCGATACTTTCCGATTCTGGATCTTTATGCTCTGAAATCGATTCTGAAATCAAAATATCGATACTTTTGATACTTACGCATTCTGAGATGAGGTGTATCCTAAACAGAAACACGGTGAAAAGTATCCAAATTATTGAGATGTTGTCTAAGTGACGCTCGGTTGGTGGGACTACTTCTTCTTCC